TCTGCCATGCGATCCAGTCGTACGCAGCCCGTGCCGTCACCCTTTCCCGCACCTCTCCCTTGGGACGACGCGAGCTCCTCCGAGTCCCCATCTAAGCGTGGCCGATGAAACAGATGATTCGAACAGTTCCAACGAGATCCGAACATGCCAATCGGTCGATGGCCTCGACCGACCCCAGCGCCAATCACCTTCAGACGTTTTCGTGCGAGGATTTCTGCCCTTTGGGCTGCTGCTTGTATCCATGCGGCTATCGGCTGCGTCTCCTCCTCCCCCCCTCTCCTCCTCCTGTGGATTCGGCCACACACGATATCCCCCCGACCGAGGCTCTTGGAGCACTTGGTCTATGTTCCACCTGGCGGCTCTCCCGCAGCGCTCCGAGGCGAGGGCGGGCCGCGCTGCCGCCTGGTGTTGCTCTGACTGCTCGGGCCTGCCCCGGCACTACCGGGGGCCGGACCTGGAGTGAATGCGGTACGGCAAGTGGTACATCCTTTGCTCGTCTCTGGTCCACCACGGCCCCCGTTTGACGCACGCTGCTTGGTCCCCCCGTCCACCGTGCGGGGTAAGCTGCCTGCGTTGTTCGCCGACGACGTGGTCCACCCCTGGGCGGGAGCCATCATCGTGCTCCTGGTACTGCACAAGTGGTTCATCCTTTGACTGTACTCATGCTCTCCTACGGGTTGGTCCATGGTGCTCGGCCACACCTGCTGCCGTTTCCCCCGACGCTCTGGGTCAGGCAGTCAAGGTTCGGACTCCGCGACTGGATCGACGTCAGTGCATCGGTCGGTGGCTCACGTCGGATCGCGCCCAGGAGTCCAAGTGAGTGAGGCTTACCTGGCCACCCCTCTTCTGCCCGCGCTTTCCCATCTCTCTCGCCTCGTAATGGTGAGCGGTGCGGCCTGACGTGCCCGCTGTCCTGCCACTTGGCTGACATGCCCCAGCCTGTGCTCTGTGGACTGGATGATTTGAGCTGGCGCCACCGTGCGACTCCTCTCCGTCTACTCCAGTCTGGTGCTTGCGTTGCCGTTCCCGGGTTGCTCGCATCTTAATGGGGGGCATTTTGCCTCTTGCAGGTGCACCTGTTGCGTCGGCCTAGGCGCCTTCGTAACCAATTATCTCGCCCTGTGCCCCAGACGCGCCCGCCCCGCTTCTCGGACTTTTCCTTGGAGCCGCCAATCAAAAAGTGTATCCATGCGCAGAAGGGGCTGGGCTGGGGGGTAAAGGGGAGGGGCTTGAGGTTGCCAGGGTATCCACAAACGGGCCCATCTGGGATTCTGCCCTTGGCTTCGTTGTCGAAATGCGCAAGGGCCTGGAGCAAGACGTGGACGTACGCTGACTTGCAGGAGGGGGAGGAGGAAGAAGAGGAGGAATAGGAGGTTGAGTAGG